AAACTTCACACACACATGGTACATCATGTCACAAATAGATATGTGCCTTTGTTTCATGATCTGCTTAACAATAGCGAAATGATGGCCATTTTAAGGCCGAAAATGCATCAAAATCACGTATTTTCACAATTCCAGAACCGGATCTCAGTCATGCATGGATGGATTTTGTTCAGATTTAGCACAATGTGTTGTACATATGCAGATGCATTTCGGTCATGATCTGCTTTGAATGTATATGTCACTCAAATATGAACGGAACGGGGACGTGTCATTGACAATGACTTGTATATCATACTGTTGTTTATCTCGTTATTAATTCTCCATAGTCAGTATTTAACACATATTGAATCTTTCTATTAGGTGGCGAACCTGGCCAACGTGGTAAAAATTATCTAATTCATAAAAATGGTCATGTTGTGAGTCTGGGAGGAAAAACTTCATTGAATGTGAAACCTGGGGTAAGTTTAACTTGAATACATGAAATAACAATGAGGTTCCCGAAAGTTCTGGTGAAATATTATACTTGCAGCTACCAGGTTATACCCTCTCAAATCTGTAATGTGGCTACTGAAATTAATGAGACTGATCTTATGTAGGCCCTCTATGGCTACCATCGATATTACTGTTGTTAAATTCTTGAGGGCGCTATAGATTAATTAATTGAAATGTTTGATTCCCCAGCTTTTTGGAACAAATGATTACATACACTAGGTAGTCTACACATGTATAGTTCTACATATCAGTGTAAAACAAAATTCAGCTGGTTCACATTTTATTTTATGGCTTTTGAGTTTTCAAGTTTTTATTCATTTCAGGATGTGTTTCAATTGTTGACACCTGGGGGCGGTGGTTATGGTGCTCCGAAAAAAGATAGTGATACACAGTCTGAGAAGGGAAAACATGATGTAGTAGCCAGTCATTTCTACCATGAGAAGGGCAGTGTACATGCTTACAGATTGGCTCAAGAACAAGCTTAGCCATTAAATCAAAATTATTAAAATTTAATACATATAAAAGTAAATTGTGATTACAAAAACGACATTGTTTTCCTTCATCTTTAATGCAAGCAGGCCAAGAGTCTGTCACACTGATTAAGAAAAGTTAATAATTGAAAATCCCTATGAATATGAAGATTATCAGCAGTGCCTTAAACATACACTGTAGTATGGTTGAAAGAAAAGTGTAGACTGATCTTGTGATGTAACTATATTCCACTCATAATTTTCAGAAAAATTGTTACCAAGAAAATCTGGAATGTGATTCAGAACTGTTATTTGGCTTCAATGTCTCATGTTGTATGATTTTTGTTGCAACCCGGAATATTCAATATTGGTCTTGCACGAGGTACAGAAACGTGTGGATCAGAAACAATGACCACCACTCTTTAAGCAAGACTTTCAGAAATATGTTTAATGTACAAAGATTGAATCAGAATTAAATAAAATGTTGATTTGTACAGTCACAATCAAATCTCTCAATATATGTGGTAATTCCATAGCCTGGTATCCAATCAAATTTCAATTTATACATAGAATATTCTTTTGAGTCCAAGTCAGTTTCTATTGTTCAGGTTTTTTTACTTCCACTAGTCAGACGGAGTCCGAAAACTTGGACTTGTGGATTGACTTCTGCATACCCAATATCTTGGACATGCCTAGACTGATTACATTCAAACTTTGCACATACATACTTCAATTTGTTTCACAATTACGATATATTCAAGACGGCTGATTGTCAGCCATTTTTGTGCACCAGCTGTTTACCAATGGGTTTTGTTGAAACTTGGTACATGCATTGGACATTATGGGACCTCGATGCACATCATTTGTTTTTCAGATGGGATTTAAAATGGCCGATTTGTGGCCATTTTGTTTAAATAATGCTGTTCCAGAGCAATATCTCTCAATATATGCAAGTACTCATATGACAATCAGATACAAGTTGACTGAATGTCAGTCATTTTAATTTATAATTAAGCATCAGCTTCATGATCCATATCTCTAAAATTTTTATGTTCAAACTATATACCTTAAATTTGATAACGAGACTGTGCCACACACTTCTCATGCAAGAAGTTGAAAATATCACTTTTTACCAAAATATTTATCAAAATTAGAGAATTGAAAATATCATCATGAAATTAACAAATCTGAAAGAGGTCTACCTGTAGTACCTATATGTATAATATCAAAGCAATTGGACTTGTGGTTTTTAACAAGAAGTCGAAAATATCACTTTTTACCAAAAATATTCACCAAATCTCAGAGAGGTCCACATGTAATATCAAAGCAATCGGACTTGCGGTTTTTAACAAGAAGTCGAAAATGACAAAAATATTCACTAAAATTAGAGAATTGAACATACCGTATCATCACGAAATGAACAAATCTGAGAGAGGTCCACATGTAGTACCTATATATGTAATATGAAAGCAATTGGACTTGCGGTTTTTAACAAGAAGTTGAAAATATCACTTTTTACCAAAAATGGCAAAAATATTAACCAAAACAAGTCATTGAAAATGACACAGTTCCCGTTAAATTTTTGAAAGTTCTCTTTGTGCTAAGTAGTAAGGCCAAAAAGTCAGATTGCTGTCAATCGGCCATCCTTGACCAGATTTTGAAAGAAATTGTCATGGACATGCATCCTCACATGTATAAAGTACATGCATGTGCTAAATTTGAATGAAAACTGACAGAGCACTTCCAAGATACCGCATAAAAAAACAAGATGCCTGACGGTCGAACATCTTTGATCCAATTGCAAAATAAATTGTCATGTAACCTAATATGTATAATCTATGTACCAAGTTTGAATGACAACTGACAAAGCATGTCCAAAATACAACATTTTCAAAAAACAAGATGGCTGCCAATCGGCCATTTTGAATCGAATCGCTAAACCACTGCATGTGCATATGTCCCAGATAAAGTACTAGGCACATGCAAAGAATGAACCGAATCGGTCCAACGGATTCTGAGATATGACTCCGGACGGACGGAGACCGAATTATAAGTCCCCGTTTTCGGACTTCGTGCGAACGGGGACTAATTAGAGAATTAAAGATATCATTACAAAATGAACAAATCTGAGAGAGGTCTACCCAAGGTACATATACACCAAGTATCAAAGCATTCAGGCTTGTAGTTTTCAAAAATGACAAAAATATTATCAAAATAAGAGAATTGAACAAATCTAAGAGGTCTACTCAAGGTACATACACACAGTGAGGCCACCACCACCACCACCCCAAACACATAACTATTCATATTATCTGGATTACGCTCCTTATATCTTAAGCATAGTTGGGGAAATTGAATATTACACAATAATTCCAGAAATTTATCCATATCGCCAAGCTTCAAACTTACCCCACAAAGCTGTTTTAATTCTTACTGGTACATGTACATGGAAAATAAATCTATTTTGAAAATCTGACTTTCCCAAATTAGATCTGATGCTGTTATACTAGGCTAGCATGTTGAGAGGCGAGAGACATGTCACATTGAAATATATACAGAATCAAATCTAAAACTATTAATGATGGCTTTACATCCAAAGACGACTATAATGAAATACACAAAGAAATATTATTCTCGAAAAAAAAGAATTAAAAATAACCCAAACTTTTATTTATAAGGTCACAGTTTTGGTGGCAAATATATTGGGTTATTTGTAAATACAGCACACACAATATGTGTCATAAAACTAAAATACATGTACACAGTGAATTGTGTTTTTCATAAAGAAAATATTTACTGTCATTGATGTGTTGACGAGAATATAGTCATTATTGCCGTTCAAATGAAATAGGAGAACCCAATATGGTGGTGTGTAGCAGTGTTCCCTCTAACATGACTAATTTTGTAGGAACACCCCCCCCCCCTCCCCCAATCAAGTTGAGTCAGCTGGTTGACTGCTGGGGAGGTCGGTATGTATATATTAAGGTGACTAAAGGCACAAACAAAAATGTTGTGGCCCCTGAATTCCTTCATTTACCAATTTGAAATTACAAATTTCTTAACTACATCAATGTTTGATTCCATGATTTTTATCAATGATGTGCCAGTAAATTAGCGTATGTAAATTTGTATGTCCATTTTAAGCTTAAGTTAATTTACGAGTTTAAGTTTCAAAAGGATAAAAGAGCTTGAGAAGATGGTGCTGGCAATTGTAGACAGTTACAGGGAATTTAGTACAAAATTACATGCAAAATATCTCATCTGATGTCATAGACATTTATACGTCTTCAGTTTTACAAATAGACCACTTTATAATAAAGATTACAGTCCACATGGACTATCACGTTTAAACCACAAATATAGTTCTTATTAATTATAAATAGCATTCAAAGTTAGAAGCACATCTCTTAAAAAAATGCATATATTGTATGTTGAATTACTAATATCCTACTCCTACTCCATTCCACATTTATCCCATATACATAGTTTGAAGTTCATCAAACAAGTTGTATGGTAACAAGGCTTTCTTACTCTACTCGCCTTTGACTCAAAATCTAAACTTTTTTCAGACAGTGTTCTCTAAGAACTGACTTTCCATTCATCACCTTACACATTTTACATAGTTATAAATTATATTTCTTGTATGATGTGTCTGAATTGGATATTCATATCTTGACTTCCATATCCTCCACCAGACAGCTCATGACAATATCAATATCATGGTATTAAAGCTTATTTTTTATACAGATTTTGATAATATTGCTTCATCCAATCGAGATTGACTTCTATTCTCAATAGCTTCCTTTGTATGTCTACATGTTCTGAGGGGTCGGCAGCATCTGGGTTCACCTATTCAATACAAGTAGAAAAATTACATATTGTTATTGAATAAATAGGTTGAGGGAGCCATGGATAATAAAAACATTAGCACAGCAAATGTAATCTCTTCAATTGTGAAAAAGAGGGGTGGGGAGATTCTAGTTACTGTTGTTTTAAAGGGTGGCTTCATTTTTTTTTTTTACATTTGCAAACTTATCTATATGGTTGCAGTTAAATGTTTTAACAAAAAAATTACTTTTACTGTGTGTATATTTTAATTATTCACATATCAAGGTAATGTATTGTCGCCTTATAAAAAACACTAATTTTTAATATTCAAATCATTTCATTTTTCACACAACCCCTTTACATTCTTTATTTTTGTTCCCTCACAAACAACCAGAATGTGTGACTTTTTTTGTAATCATGCATCTGCCAATAGCATTGTAATATTAGAATAGTTAAATAGTCTCTTATATAATTATATTCATAGTTAGTAAAAGTTACATGGAAATTAAACACTCACTGAAAGTTGTTTTATTGTGAGAGAGTCTTGTAAAGTCAGTGAGAATTGCAAAACATTGTAGCAGTGCATATTGCACTATGGTTCCTGAGAAGTTTATCTTGTGCAAACATTCCCAAATTATGAAGTAGAAACATTAGACCGAGTAATTAATGCTTTGATAGCTGCATGCATCTTTCATAAATGAGCATTTCCTATTTTGTTGATGATTCAACATTGTATGCTTTGGTGGGATTACACCACTTACCTGTTGGTATGATGTCAAGGAATGTACAGGTGTGGGTATGTCTTTATTGTCTGGTGAGACTAATGCAATCTTAATAGAGTTGCATTCTGCACTAGAAGGTGTATCGCTCACTTTACATGCAACTGCTGTATTACCCTGTTGACATTCCATAATTTCTCTATCTTGTTTTGATGCATAACTGCTACTTTTAAGTTTTCTTCTTTTCGTTTGTCTAGTATTGTGGTTGTGACTAATATTATGAGGGTTGTCATGATGTTCTGACTCACTCAAACTGTGAACTTCAGTTTTTAGCATTCCTCTGTTTTTAGTTGAGTTTGTCCTACTGTTCACTACTGTGTTTGTAACTTGCTTGATCGACAATAAACTTGGACTATGTTGGGATGACTGCAGACTACAATTCTCTTCACTGGGTTTGTTTGTCCCTTGCTGCTTCCTTAAACTCTGGCTATGATCCAAATCATCAGATAAATCAATGGTCACATATTTTGTTAATTTCTGGGAGGTAATTTGATTTGTAGGTTCCAACAATATCACAGATTGCAAAGACTCAATTTCATCAGCTGGTTTCTTCATTGAAGAATGTCCTCTGATAGAGGTTATGCAACTTAAGCTGTTGTCTTGACTATGGTTGCTTTGTGTCATCTGTGTACTCTCTGCAAGCGGTTGTCCAGTTTTAGTTGAAATTATTTCAACATCAGATGCAGTATCCATTGGCGAAAGAGAGTGTTCCGCCTCACTCTGATCTGAAAATATAACAAAATACAAGATGTGAAATCATAATAAAATGAAATATATATAATGAAACAATATAACAAATTTGAAAGGAGTATATACAAACACAATCTGATTAAAATAAGATCCTAGTTTGGGCTTTTTTTTTTTACTATGTTTTTAATTATTTAGTTTCATCATACATTATTTTTTACTGTATTCTATTTGAATTTATTATTTATTAGCTGGTAGCTTTTTAAAAGTTTTGGTAATTGCGAAGCCAAAAAGGAATGTAGTGTGGCAATAGTGAGACAAAAGAAGATGTACGTAATAATAAAAACAATTAACACAATAATAAAAATATGGAGTAAAAATATATAAAATTAAATTTATGCCATACAATACATTGTTTTTGATAATTTTCTGATGTATTTGTTGACTAATGTCTTGCACAGATATGTACTGCTGTGTTGCTTAATCAGTGTTCATCTTAATATTTAGTAGAATATTATTATACAGTAATACTCACCTATACTCTGTGGCATAGAGAACTCCAAGCTATCTAGATAATCACTTTGTACCGGTATCTAATCAGTCAAAAAAAAACATGAATGATCTAATAAAATGACTATTCTTGCTGCTACATGTATTTATGTGTACATGTACTAGACTCTGTGCATGCATTTTTCAGAATTGAAGGTATTTATTCAGTGAGGCAGCTCTGCGTGTTCAGTATGAGTCATGGTGGGGTTCAGTATAGACAGGTATTTATTCAGTATAAGTCATGGTGGGGTTCAGTATAGACAGGTATATATTCAGTGAGGCAGCTGTGTGTGTTCAGTATAAGTCATGGTGGGGTTCAGTATAGACAGGTATTTATTAAGTAAGGCAGCTGTGTGTGTTCAGTACAAGTCATGGTGGGGTTCAGTGTAGACAGGTATATATTCAGTGAGGCAGGGTTCAGTATAGACAGGTATTTATTCAGTATAAGTCATGGTGGGGTTCAGTATAGACAGGTATATATTCAGTAAGGCAGCTGTGTGTGTTCAGTATAAGTCATGGTGGGGTTCAGTATAGACAGGTATTTATTCAGTATAAGTCATGGTGGGGTTCAGTATAGACAGGTATTTATTCAGTATAAGTCATGGTGGGGTTCAGTATAGACAGGTATTTATTCAGTAGGCAGCTGTGCGTGTTCAGTATGAGTCATGGGGGTTCAGTATAGACAGGTATTTATTCAGTAGGCAGCTGTGTGTGTTCAGTATGAGTCATGGGGGGTTCAGTATAAGTCATGGTGGGGTTCAGTATAGACAGGTATTTATTCAGTAGGCAGCTGTGCGTGTTCAGTATGAGTCATGGTGGGGTTCAGTATAGACAGGTATTTATTCAGTAGGCAGCTGTGTGTGTTCAGTATGAGTCATGGTGGGGTTCAGTATAGACAGGTATTTATTCAGTATAAGTCATGGTGGGGTTCAGTATAGACAGGTATTTATTAAGTGAGGCAGCTGTGTATGTTCAGTATAAGTCATGGGGGTTCAGTATAGACAGGTATTTATTCAGTAGGCAGCTGTGCGTGTTCAGTATGAGCCATGGGAGGTTCAGTATAGACAGGTATTTATTCAGTATAAGTCATGGTGGGGTTCAGTATAGAC